CACAGTCAGATTTGGACCAAGCAACAAATTAAAATTCTTTTTTGTTTTCAACAAAAGACTGCTCACTTCTCTCATCATCCTCAAAGTCGTATCTGGCATAGCTGTTTGGCTCTGCTGTCCTCAGTGATCTCAACCACGGGAAGTCAGTAATCATGGAGTAAGGGGCACCATCCACAATGCCTAGAAGACAAAGAGGATGAAGATACAAGGGAGACAGCAGCATGCCTGTAGCATCAGCACTCTCAATGCAGAAACATCTTCTCAACATAAACTTCTCCACTCTGTGCTAAAGGCCCTCCACTTCCCTCACAAGAATGATTATTCATGTCTCTTACAACGTGATGCAACCAAAGTTACTTATCTTAGCAAGAGAAAGAGCATCAACTTTCAGGTCTCTACAGACACACACCTTCTAGAGTGTAAATATCTCGTCCCCAAGGGTACTTAGTGTATTTCTTCAGGTCTTCTTCAGTTCGTGTTGCTTCAGGGAAGAACTCATATTTAATAAGCTCTCTAGAGAGATGGATGAAAAGATTACAGCCAGTATTGCTTGGAAATGTGAAGGGAGGAGGAAGAAGAACCAAATGGGAAATCTTACTGCCTTTACTTTAATGAGCCTGAATCCATAGAAATGCTTCTCTAAGACCTTCACATAAAGACAGTATGAAGCCCCTTCATTTTTGAGTACTACGGAGAATATATCCTGTTTAGATCAATGAGTTAAGCTAACTTTTACACATAGCCTCTATCTGCAAAAAACAACCCAACACAGTTGCATCTAAACAAACATTCAAAAATACATTTGTTCTGTTAATCATTTTAGTGACAAACCTGGACAACAGAAACACAGATTTAAAGTATGTGGACAAAAGCCATTGTATACAATTGCCTGCTGCTGGGAATTTCTGTTCCTCAGTAATAAAGTGAAATTGACCGTACACCATCTTCTCCAGAAATATTATTTCTTGAAGGAAATCAGTCTTCTCTCTTTTTTAAAAGACAAAATTTGTTTTCCCATTTGAAAATATCTCTCAACCTCCCTGACTCCTTCAGTGTTAAATTGCATTACTACTCTATGGAATAGAACTAGAGAATTCTACAGTATTTTTCACATGGCTAGTTTTATTTAATCTAAGTTTTTTTGTTAGATCTATCTTAACACTGATATTATGTCAATATACCACGTAGAATTCAAACTTCACCAGTCAACAAACTAGGGTGGTTTCTGTTTGTTTGTTTTTTTAATGTTGCAACTGAATACTACAAGTCTACAGCTAACTGTAGCTTTGAATCAGGATGGAGTGTATTTTCCATGAAGCTACTGAAGGACAAATACTCACTGGTTAATATTCGCTATCGTGTCCATCCAGCTCCGAATGCGCACCTTGTTGCGGACATTTGGTGGGTTACTGAACTCATGAATTATGCAAATATGGTAGGGGTAGGGGCCACTAAATATCTTTTGCTCAAGAGTCAGTGTGTCGACCTGAGAAAGAAGGAAAATAAAGACTTGTAACAAAAAGACACAAAGGAACGTGATTTTAGAGTCAAGAGCAGACATCTATAAAATTCCCAAATTCTGGGGGACAATTAAATGAAATTTCAACATCATACATGATGTAATACATGAGTAAAACTTTCCTAGCACAGCTTTGCCAGTGACAAATTCTTAAGGAATTTGGTGGGATATGGTATTTTCTGATGAGTTTTTCCAACTCCAGTGTATATGTATCCCTCACAAAACTATGTAACAGTCTGAATTACGTTCACTTGCTCAGAATTGTCTTTGGTTCAGTTGTTTTCAATAGTATTACTACTCTCCTTTAAGATCTAAGACTCAAAGAAAGCTGGCTTTAATACCAAATCAGCCTTCCTTTGTTGGTCAGGAAAACTGACCCAGAAACTTGCATTAGGTTGCATGAAAGCAGGAGCACCACTGTATAACACAGAACATTCTAGTTTGAGTGCAAGTCAAAAATTAGTCTGGATTCTAGATCAAACACTCTGATTTCTTGTCAAAACGACCTCAACAAATCACTAATGCCAGTGCTTAGTTCTCCTATGAGTAATCTGAGGGAGAAAAGATGGCTGACAGTATCAAAACTTTATTCTAACACTGTTCAGTACCACAAGACGATGCAGCTTTTAGCTTTACAGCAGTATTCAAAACATTAATTGCTAACAGGACATCAGTAAAAGATTTCAGATACCTACACCTATGTCATGCTTCTGCTTATATGAACTACAAGCTGTGTTAGTAGCATCTAGGTTCTTAAAGTTACCTTTAGTTATTCAGTTGGGAATTAATTCAATGCATCATGATTTTTTTAATATCTTGTAATGCAATGACTATTGGAGATATTAACATTAAGTCTTAAAATTCAGTATCATCCAAGTTCCAGAATCTGCAATAAAAGTCTTGATGGGACACAGTTTTAATGAACAAGTTATTGCAACATTCACATTTATTTTATTAATTGAAAAACAAATAAAGCCAAGAGAAGTGAAAGAATACAGGCAAAGAACTTCAGCTCTGTTTGTGATTAAAAGAGAAATTGGTTGTATACCTGCTGCATTGGACGAAGATAAATGATACGGTTTCTTTCTGGTGGCATCCTGAGAATCTGATCGAGGACCTGATCCATGTTTAACTTCTTGCACTGGGCATAGTCAAAACGATTCACAACTGGTGCATTTTCTACTTTTAAGTGTTTCAATACCCGGCACCTTGTAGCTATAAACAAGCAAATAAAATTATTAAAAGAATCAAAAGAAAACGAGAAATAAATTACTGAAAAGGCTTTCTCCTTTCTGAGATCTTCAAAGCAGACTGTTTCAAAAGAAGGCAAACAAATAATGTAAGTAACAATTACTGAAGTAATTTGGATATCTGGCAACTTAAGTATATTGAAGAAATACAGCATCTATTAATTTCTTCCATGTTCTGATCAAACTTTAATAAAAGTCCATGTCGAATTCAATCTAATACCCTTCCCTCCTCCATTGTTTCTTTTTAAAAAGCCCCCTGAAACTTTCTGTGTATCCCCACAACTGAAATCCAACGACTGATAAATCAGATCCAATACAGAGTATTGCAGGGTAAAAGAAAGCTATTTCCTTTCTAGTAATCATGCTCATGTCATCAAAATCTAGTTAAAAGTTAACTTATGTTTTAAGAAGGATTCTGAAATAAATGAAGAAATAATTTCCTCCTTCTCTGTTAAACAAAGATACTTCATCTCAGAAGAAAACATGTTGCTAGTGTCCATGTGAGAGAAAACAACAAATGACACAATGCTTCACTACAGGACTAGTCATACAACCTGGAATGTGAATCTAATGCATCTTAAGTGCCATAATTTAAAATAGATTTTTATCATGTCAAGAAGGAAGACATCATCACATCAGCTAACTAATATGTGGAAGCAGGAAGAAATGAAAGAAACAACAAGGTGCTATAAAAATCATTTCATCAGCTTCCAATCATTGTGTTATCTCTCTCTTCAATAAATATCTCCATCTCTGTAACTGTCATATAATTTCAACGGTTGATTTTCTGACAGTAATCTTTATTAAATCTGTTACAGTTTGTAAGGAAAAGGATATTCAAATTGAGACGCAATAATTCTAAATATCAGTTTGACTTGTAGCAAAGCAGCTAATAAATAGAAAAGCAATGGATTAACTTCACTTCCTTCAGAAACTTCTAATGATCCTAGATGGAGGAGACAGGCATAACATTAGCTACACACCATGTATGAACATCATTTTGGGGCAGTCTTTCAGTACCAAATCTGTTATTCCACAATTGGTCAAAGTGATTCCAACAAGATTTTTGGATTTCAAAGTCAGTACCTGGTGAAAACAAACAAACAAATCCATAACAGGGAAATTCAAATCAAATCAAATCAGCTGCTACTGCCAGATACACAAAGATACTGAGGGGATACTAATCAAAATGTTACAACTTGGGTTCACAAGCATTTGAGATGACTAGACATGTAATGGCAGAAAAAAGACTCCCTGCTGACTAGCAACATCACAAAATGCAAAAGAATAACTTCACAAGATCAAAAAAAAAGAAAAAAAGATTGTCATCAGAAAACACAGTTTCTATCAGAAAATCTACCATCTATCAGTTACTTACATAGTAAGAAAACCCCCAGCTTGCAACATTACAATTGAGCTGGTATTTCTGGAGTTAGTTACGTACACCATGTTTCTTTTAACAGCAGTAGCCTATGCTGTCATTTCAAAAATAAGATGTCAGAGAAGAAAATTTCCCCTTACACATCATGGACAGTATGGGAAGGCGGGACTTTATCCAGCACTGTAGCTGTGACCATCTGAGTAGCTTCAATTTTAGCTTTAGCATTTACTTTGCTCTTCTCAAGCCAGCCCAAGTATCAGTGCACCCAAAACAGAATTTTCCTATATACAGACAGGACCACAGAGAATAACATCTAGTCCTAAAAGAGAGACAAGTCTATGCTACTGTATTGTTGTTCGTGAGCACCCCCAGCTGATAAGCTTGTAGTGAGTAAGGAGAAACATCTTACTTGAACATGATCATCCTCAATAACAGGGTCACTTGTGCTTGTGGACTTGTCAGCAGTCCTTTTCCGCTTTGTGGTTTGCCTTGGCCTTGGTTTGGTCACTTCTGAAAGCAGAGAACCAGAACAAGTTTTCCTCTGTTTACATTTCAAGAGAACAGAGGTATTTTCTGGGTGAAAATATCCATTAAGAACACATACTTTTTTTAAATACAGCTAGATCAAAATACCTGTCTGTCCTGAAAAAAGCTACTTATCTTTTCTTTGCACCAAAACATTTCCAGTACTTGAAGGGAGCATAAAAGCAGAAGGGGGAACGACTGTTTAAATGGGTTGATAGTGGTAAGACAAGGGGGAATGGTTTTAAACTAAGACAGGGGAGGTTTACGTTAGATATTAGGAGGAAGTTTTTCACACAGAGGGTGATGAAGCACTGGAACAGGTTGCCCAAGAAGGCTGTGGATGCCCCATCCCTGGAGGCATTCAAGGCCAGGCTGGATGTGGCTCTGGGCAGCCTGGGCTGCTGGTTGGTGACCCTGCACATAGCAGGGGGTTGGAACTTGATGAGCATTGTGGTCCTTTTCAACCCAGGCCATTCTGTGATTCTAGGAAACAGACTTTCAAGTTTGTTGCTCTGAATTATTTGTGTAGGATAACCTGAGGTGCTGTTTACAGATGAAAACACAGAAATGCTTAACCTACTGGTCCAAAATCAGGGACAATGAGCCAAGAAAAGAACAGATGGTGGTTTGTTAAGTTACACTTGATTCTCTGCAGCAAACAATGCTCTTAACAAATCCGAGAAACAAAATACCTTTACTGTTTTAAATAGTAGAAATAACCTCAAACTACCTGAAAGTCGGTTCTTTTTAACTCTGAGTTTTTCCTGACGTTGCAAACAATGCCCAGGTATAAAATACTCAGAGGGCCCCAAACTTACTCTATTAAAATGCATCAATTGTATCAAATTCCTTCTTGATTTAAAGTACAAAGCTTTGAAAAGATCACCACCCTTATTTCCAATATGAAGGGAAAAAAAAGCCTTATAATTAATTTTCTATAATTAACAGATCAAAAGTATCAATTATTTTACTAAAGTGAATCACCCTTTAACTTTTTTTTCTTCATAAAACAGATGGCATGTTTACAAAGATTTATAATCAAGATAAATGTGCAGAATATTAGAAAATACTAACTATTCTATATCACTATTAACAGAAAGAGATCATTATTAACATATGTAACATCATCAACTTCCAATACATGAGAACTATTAATTACAAGTGATACTCAGCAGGCTTATGAGCTGCAGAATTCTGCCTAATCCTTCAGGGGAGCCAGAGGCAAATAGGTCTGATGTTAAGTAGTTTATGAACGAATGATCATGAAAAATGAACCATCATTCCCATGTTTTGGTTGAGGGTTGCTTGATTTGCTTTTGTTGTTTGTTACTTTTTAACAGTTCCCATAGTATTTACAGACAGGAAGCATTTCACAATCCACAACATAGGAAAAGCTCTCCAATTCTGCATTGAATTGCTCAAAATACAGCCCATGGCCTTACAGGAGGTTCAACACAACATTTTTAAGCTCATGAAAAGCTTGCTTCACCATGAATGAGAACTAACACATGTCAACATGAAAAGATTTATTACAGGAAAAGTTGCGGCTTGCATTTTTGCTGAGGTAAAAATCACTATTACACACCAGATTTCAGCCAGTAGTCATTACTGGTCATAACGCTTTCTAAATTTCACTGGCTTTGCTGTTCAACTCATTCCATGGTTTAAAAAAAAAAAAAAAAGAAAAGAAAACTTTCTACTATCAAATATAGGTTTGTTACAGAATCTGAAAATCAATTTCATTTATACCAGAATAGTGGAAAGCAGTGACTTTTACTGCACATTTCCAAGTTATTTATAGAAAAACAATTCAAGCTCTATAGCAAAATAATATTAAGATCTGACTGACTTACGAAGATAGAGAGGAAATACTTTCTTTTAATTAATTAATGTAGATTAGTATTCAGTCATAGCAAGGTAGCAAGGTAGAAAAAATGTTAAATGTAAAAATAAGATCACTTCTTCTGAGATGTGTTCAGCCATGGAACAATTTCCTACATGATTTAGGTTTTGTTAACACTTAGGAACACTAAGTTAAATTGGAAAGACATAAGGACTTACTGTGTTTGAATTATTCCATGTTACCAGAGATATGAATCTGCTATCAATCCTTTCTACCTCCATCACATACAGTCCTGGAACCAGCATGCTACATTTCTCAGTTTCATTTTTATTGCCAGGTATTCTCAGCAAAGAATGCTGGGTATACGAGGTAATTACAAACTCTGCTATGCCAAACTAGGCTTATTATTTTGGCAAGCAAGTAAATTCAGAAGAAATAGCAAGTTCACCTCTTGCATTTATTCTTCTTTCCCAACGTTTCCAACTTCATTTCAGCCCCTCAGGACTTTTTTGTTGTTGTTTTATTCATATGCTTTTTATTACGTGAAAAGTGAACTAATTTAAGAAAAAGACAGTTTTCAACACGTTTGATTGTCATCCCTTATACACTTGGAAATGAAGTCCAACATGCAGGTGCACAAGCTTGTACAGTATTACATTTCAATCCTAATCTTGGCTTTTGTAATTGTTTGATAAAGTATCAGTTATTAACTCTTGCCTTCTTTCTGAGATCTGAGCATACCTGCTGTCATCTTCCTCTAAAAGGGAGAATTTTAAGAGGGGAGGCAGTCTTAAGTTTCAATGAATGACAGCCTTCACAGGAAGAGAGATGCTGTCAAAAGAAGTTGCATTTGGTTTTCAAATGAGTAAATGAAATGCTGTTTTGTAGGTATGAATAACATACAGAAATACTTGCATGGAGAAAAACATCAATGGCATTCTTTAAAGAGGTACTTGTTATTTTACCCAGCTAAGGCAGTGAAGTCAGTTGTTCTGAACCCTTGAAAACCACTTAAAGTTATTATTCAGTATGTTTCATGCTTAACTTCAGTAGTACCTGTGGGTGCTGCTCTTGTTCAACATTTTCTCATAGCAGGACAGTAGTTTACTCAGAAATGAACACTGTATATAGGCCATACCTGACTCTGACACCAGAGGGACATGTGACAGCTTGCTTCTAGCTCTCGTCAGCGGCCGGCGAGGATATTCTTCTTTATACTGCATCTCACAGCTTCTCTGCTGTGAGCCCACGCTCTCCTCCCCACTGGCAGGCCCACAGGTACTCCCACTAGTCCTCTCACCACTTGCCTCTCGAGGAGACCCACAGTTCGGCAGAGTCCTAAGTGCAAAATCTGACCCAGTGCTGCTCCGTCCATTCCTGCAGGCACCACTGGTGGATGGGCATTCCCCATCACAACACCCACTAGTCCTCCGCTGTGTGTCCTGTGGCTTGTAGCAGGAACACCTGGAACAAACAGAGGTCTCCTCAGTCTCTCTCTCACTGGAACCTTCACTTTTACAAGGTGAGCAGACACATAGTCTGGATTCATCTGCAGCTGTTAGGCTGGTGCCAGCACAGTGGCTACTAGCTGTCTGTGCACAGTCAGGGCTAGGAGAAATAGCACTGCAGGAGCTGGATGATCCTGTTGATCCTGTTGCATTACCACAACTCGGGTAAGAATCTTTGCCTTTGTTCCTTTCAGGCATGTCACTTGCTGCTTTCATGTCTGCTTTAATCTGCTCACTTGTTACTTGACAACCTTTCTCACAGCTGCTTTCCTCCATATGGAACTGCTTTGCCTGGCCCACTTGGCTGGCACTGCATCTCTTCCGCAAGGGTGTCTTGCCTTTACCACTCACTGTAAGTTAAATATCAGAAAACAATGAGACAACCAAATACACAGTTCAAATAAATACTGAGTGCTAGCTGCTCTTTTAGGCTTCTTAGAACAGAATGTAGCCTAGAGGACAATAAATCCTGTCATGACCATTATGCTACTCACAACTCCTTCAGATGTTATGTGAATTAACAGTAATTTGAGTGGTTATTCAGTTTCTATAAAGTCTTTCAGCTGTTTCTGTAGTGGTGTGGTGGTGTGCTTGTCAGTAAATATAATATGTATTTGCAGAAAGGTTAATATTTTGACAAATCAGCTAACCAGTTAGTTGAAAAGGCCTAACCACAAAAATATGAAAAAAAATTACAGGTTTTTTAATTACAGGTTTCTCTTTTCTTAAATATAAGGAACAAATCTGAGGAATTAGATAATAACGTGGATATGACAAAAGTTTGTGTTTTCAACAGCCATCCTTAGGTCCCCTCCTAGGCACAAAACATGGTGTAGGTAGGTACTAAATATTTCAGTTTACAGATGAACAAAGAAGCACAGTGAATAATGCACAAATCACAAGGAGAACCTAGAAGTCTACTAACTTATTTCTCTCAGCTAATTACACTAAACTAAGCCCCTCAGAATATTACTGGCTCTACAGAAGTTCAATCCAATTGTCTCTAAATGCTTCTTGTTTTCTACTACAGGTTATTTCAACTCCCCAAAAGGAACCGATGTCTACATTGTAACTATAACCCTATACAGCCTCATGGAAACGTGCTAAAATGACAAGAGAGATAAGATATAGGGAGTATGATGGCTACAAGAAGATACTTGTTTCATTGCAGCTTTGAATCTTCCTAGGTCTTGCAGAAATGAAATCAGTATCAGACCAGTACATTTCTCAGTCTTTCACAATACTGGACTTTCATGCTAATTGCTTAGCTAAAAACTCATCAAGTCTTAATAACACATGCACTTAACTGTCAACTACTTATAATTCGACTTTGACTTCCTCCTTTCTTGCATACATATGAAACCACTTCACTTAGAATAAAAACTACAGGAAATAGTAAGTCATCTGTGCTGCTGGAAAGACAGCATGTCACACAGTATCAGACACAGGACTCAGAATTACTGCCACAGCTCTGCATATTATAGCTGTAAATTCTGCAAGAGAGGGAATGCCCTTTTCTGCATCTCTCTATAGTTGCCATACTACCACAAAGAGCCTCTGACTCTTAGTAATACATATACTAATAATAAGTATATACATTCACATACACACACACACACACACACAGAGTAATCATGAGCACTGTTGAGAAGTGGTGAACACAGAGTACTGAACGTAACCCTGAGAATTCTAAAGTTCCTATCAAACTAATGTTGACCTGGAAGCATCCCCTCCCTCCAGGACAATTCCACAAGTCCTGTATGAACCAAAAGATGGCCACAACTGTCACTTTTTAATTTTTTTTTTAACCAGTAGCAATGCTTTGGCAGGTGAATCATAAATACAAAAGAACTGCAAATTTGGCTTCACAGACATGATAAATTACACACACTTGCAAATACAGAGTGGCAGGTTTCTGCCTGCAGAGCAGTGCAGCACCATACTTCTGATTTGTATCTGTACAGCAACTACATGATCAGAGCTCGTAGAGAGATGTCCTTGCCTCTCTATTCTTTACTTATAATAAGGAAGAAAAGAGGAGGAGGCAAACAAACACGCATGCCTTTTACAAAGCTGTAAACAAGACTGAAAAACTGAAGAACAAATTTTGCAGAACATTGTCCAGCCCTCACCCAGCTGTTCCACACCTGAAGGTTCTTTAGTTTCCACTGGATCTCTGGTTTTCTCTTCTCCATCTGAGTAATTCTGTGCAATGTTGTTAGTGATGCAGGCTCTTGTTCCCATGTTTTCTTCCTCATCCTCACTGTCTGAATCATGTACAGTAATAGGTGCTGCTTTTACAACAGGTTGAATGCCACTCGGCCCTGAAAACAGAAGAACCACAACAGTTCAAGTAAAAATAAGAGAAGGGTGAATTCAAAGTCTGAAGAACTTTTAGAACTCCTTGAAAAAAATTAGAGATGAATTTAGTTCAATTTAGCCATCTCATTCAACTTCACCACTCATTCTGTGGCTCCATCATTAAAAGAAGCATGAATTATCAACATTGAGTATAAATGTATATTATTAGTTACCTAATAACAAAGGCAGAAGAAAATTGGAAATTGTAATACAGACTTTAAAATAGACTAAATTTCTTCACAGAGGTAAGCTGTGCTAGCAACATAATTTCAAATGCACCAGATATTTCACCTGGAAAAAAAAATAACTAATAACCAAACTTACACTGAAGTACTTAACACCTTAAGAAGGCAGTTTCTTACCAAAAGCATAGTTACCTGCTTGCTCTTCATCAACCTCCATAGGAACAACAGCCTGGCTGTGAGCAGGGACATCATTGTGGCCCTGTCCAGCAGCAGCCATCCCTTCTTCTGGTGCCACCTCCTCCATCTCATTTAGTGCTGAGAAGATTGAGGTACAGTTAAAAGAAGGAAATAAAAGTAACAAAACCCATGGAGAGGAATTCAATCAACACCTAGTAAGTCAGTCACCAAGAAATAAGTAACAATTGCCTTGAGTCCTTCACAGAGTCTCAAGGTTGCACACTGAAGTCCTGTAAAGACCTGTTCTATTTAAGAGCCCACAGCAACTTGTTTTACATTTTCTAGCTAAAGTCCTAGTCTTTTTTTTTTTTTAGTTTTATTTTTTGGGGTTTATTTCTCCCAAATTTTCCACTCTTCAAAAGTCTTCTACCATTGCAGTGAGTAGTATAATCAGAATTTATATCTTCATTCCTTAAAATGACACCTGTCTTCACTGGTAAAGCTTAAAAATATACTATCTGACATCGTGACACACTCCCAAGCCCTGACCAGAGAAGCCCAGAAAACACCTCACACCTCCACGGATGAGTATCGCACTGAAATTTTACACTGCTAACATCAGTACTGCTTCAAGTCATTGATTTTTAATGTCCCTGCATCAGCTACTAGATACAACAGAGAGATGGTTTTTATCAGAGGTATCAGCAACGTGCAGGCAGCACTAAGAAAAGATTAAAAAATTAAAGTTACACACCAGGAACTGTAAGAGTTTTCAACATATAGTATTTGTTTTCTACGACTCTAGGTAAGCAGCAATACAAGCATATTGACTGCCCAGTAAGGTTCACAAAGATCAGAGATTACCCTCAGCTGCAATCTGCTGCCCTTCAGCTTGCCCATCCTGCCGCAGCTCATTCTCCTCATTCTGGTCATTTGGATGTTGATGGTTGTTGTGGTGGATGTTGGGATTGTTGTTATTTTGGTGATTATTGTTGTTGTCATTGTCATTGTTAGAGTTCTGATTGCTGACTAGGGCAGATGAGACACCGATTCCTGTGCCTGCACTTAAGCCCACACGAGCACAGCCCTAAAAGCAAAGAACAAGCTTTGAAAACATTGACAGATTACCTCTGCAATGTACGCTACTGCTAAGAAAAAAAGCATTCTGTCAGTATACAGAGACCAATATCCATATGAAGAGCTAGCAAATTGTTCCTAATATTTCCTTATGCTATACACTGCAAAGGTCTATCCTAAGTTTGGCAATCCAGAAAACTTTCCTTGCTCTGTAAGGATCGTAATGAAAGGAAACTCTATAAACAGTGTAATCTTAACTTACTGAAATATGTCATATGCTATTAGATGATTTTACATCAATACAATGAGCAGGCTATATAGTCTTCTTGGAACACAATAGCATCAAGACAGAACTAATGATCAAGAATCATGTTTTCTGGTCACATGATCATATGGTATCTTAAATGTCACTGCTTTCTCTGCTAAAGCAGCAACACTCTCCCTAACAAACCATAATTATAGCAAGTGCAAACCTAAGTAATTTGCTCACCAAGCTATTCAATTTAATTACTAAAACTTTTAGAAGCATGCATAGCTGCTAGAGTATTTCAAATGAGCAGGCAAAACTAAAAAACAAATTAATTCCCCAAAATACACACCTTAGGAGGCTCACGGAACATCTGGTCCAAAGAAATAAATTCTAAGCTTGGCAGTAACTCAATGAACTGACTAAACGAATCCAGCTTTATCGCGTGGCATCGCACCAATGTGAGGTCAACCAATCGGGTCCATCTTGAATGATCTGCAGAAGAGAAGAGATCTATTTCCTTAAAAACTCCTATCTCATTTATTTTTCACTGTAGTCTTTCCAGCTTTTAGAGTAGGCAGCTTTGGTATCCCCATTTGACTGTTACCAGCAACATTCTGGTTCCAAACCATGCATCACCTATCGTACTTATGACAAAAGAGAATAAGCAGTAGTATGAGGATAAAAAATATCTGTTTTAAAATCACTCTTTATGGGGTTTTCACGTCGTACCAACCTTTGAATTGTAAAGAAGAGCAAAACGTTAATTCTGTGGATGTTCATTTTAGTTACAATGTATTTTCCTGCATACAGTTCCTATGAGTAATGTCACAAGTCATTTTATTATCTAATGGTTATTATTCAATGACTGCACAAAATAAATTTGTATTTGCATTTCTAATTCATAGCACATCATTGAAAAGAACCCTATTCTGTTTCTCACTCTCTCCCTAGTACTTTTAGCAGCTGAAATATATAAAATCCAAAGGGTCACAGGATTTAACAATCTTCCCACCACAAGACCTGCAAGGTTGTGCATTCAAGAAGGTTAAAATAAAAATATGCATTCTTAAGATACACATATAAAAAGTAGATCATATTGCCATTTTATATATTAAAATACTGTACTTTCTTGCCTAGCAGTGCACTTTCACATTTGTATACAGAAAGTATGCATGTAGTCAATGAATCATTCACACATTTACATTTCAACACTTATTTTTTTCCATCTAGTACCTAATTATTTTGCTTCTTACTAAGAGGATCTTATTTCTTAAAATTTAAGATTTAGCATGAATTGCTCATAAAAATGTGAGCTATTCACACAATATTTCTAAAATTTCAGAAAGTGTGCAATACCTGTGATCCAATTATTTGGGTTATGTAGATGTGGACAGTTGTAAATGACCAGATACTTGATGCAAGAAAAAACCTCATTTACAGCTTTCATACCAATATCAGTAATAATTCCTGGATTTTCAACCACATCAGCCAAGCCATACTTCACCAAGTCCCCATTTGTCATTTTACCTACGGAAAAGACAGTGGAAATAGTGGTAAACTTTAGGAAACTGCCTTTCATAGCACGATTTTCTAATTCCCTATTTCAGTCCAAATTGCAAAGTGGACCAAACAATCGCTTCAGCTGAATAAAGCTGAGACTTTCCTATCTTCAATGAGCATTTCAAGAAGTGAAAAAACAAACAAGCATTTTGTTGTATGAGATCAGCAGCTTCATTAAGGGTAAACTGAAATTCTTTATAATCACTCTTTCACATTGACTGAACATTGACGTCAACTCTTTTAATCCTTGTATTTATGAAATAATTTATGTATATTAAAAATGTCTTACACTGTAGTAAAAACTCATCAACATATCCTAGATGAAGAGTTTCAAACTGTGGAAATTCCAGTTCAGCCATCTTCAAAGCAGAAAAAACACCATCTTTGGTCAAGGAAGGCTGGATCCGCACTTCATGCAACCTGAATGCAATCAAGAATTATTCATATTACAACGCATTCCCAAACAGCTGTCACAGAAACTACTCAAGAAGATGCACTCCGGTAGCACAAAGAAAATATCTCACCAATGGTAGGATTAAGAGAATATTTGTATCTTTATGACAGCATTTTGCAGTTACACAGCAATATCAGAGTAGCAAGACTAAACAGCACAGCACTTTTCAGACACAATATGATTCAGATGCAGAAAGAACTCCAGTTATTGTAGCCAAAGAATACATGTACTCATTCCTTAAACTTTTAATGTTGTTCTGCTTCTTCATGTTCTTCATGTTCTTGAAATCAGTTATTACTAGGACACTTATTTTGAAAAAAGAGGAAGAAGAAAGATCTGAAGGGCCATACCTTCGTGCAGCAGTTATGATGAGGTAGCCAAGATCCACTTCAAGTGCATTCTTGCAAGCTCCCAGAACTATAGTGTGCAAATTCCTAAAACCACCTGACAAAAAAACACCATTTCATCACACAACCTTAAGCCTTCCACACTTCTACCAGTGTTGACGTGACAAGAGAATTAACCAAATACATCTATAATTTTTTAAAAATCTATTTCATACCTGATCTCCAGCTATCTTCTACCACATGCTGAATAAGTCCTCCAAGAAATGGAACACGAACCAGTTCTAGATGCTCCAGATTTCGGGCAGAAGCCAGGCCTGTCACTAGAGGAACATACTTCAGAGAATTTGTGGGTCCTACACAGAACAGACCAATGTCAGTAAAAGGTTGCTCACGTAGAAAATTAAACATATCATGTTAAATAATTCAAAGATTTCAACAGAATTACACAGCATCAAATAACAGAGAGAAATACATTCCTATACAACACCTTAAATAAAAAAACTCCTCTCAGATTTCCATTTGCAGTTGATAGCTATGCAGCTTTAACAAAATTATTAGATTTGCAATGTGCAAAAACCATAGATGAATCCCTCTTACCTGCACAATTTCTCATTACAAAAGTGCGTAAGCTGATACAAAGGAAATCTTTAAAAGGCTGTGGTTTAGTGAGTCTCACCCACTTCAAATAAAGGTGCCTCAGCATTGGGATACAAGGAATCTCAGGGACATTCACTCCTAATAATAGATAAACAAAATGAAAGTTCAATTCAGGAACCACTTTTAAAAATGCATTTTAAAGCATAAACTCCAGGATAAATTTCTACAGATTAATACTCTGACTTTAAAAATGAAGCATTTTCTTTGTCACATGAAATGTGATAAAAGCTGTACATATTTTCAACACAACTCCTTCACCACAGTTTGCGAATACAGTTTTTTAAGACTTTACCTTCCTGCTATTACATGTATTGCAACAGATATCTCAAAAAATTCCACAAAATCAAGTCTCCTCTCTTTAAAATAATGACAATCTCTGAGTTACAAAGAGTTTAAATTCACCTGTGATTAAGGCAATACACATCACCATTAAACACTCACCTACTAAGTGCAAAGTCTGAATTTTAGCTCCTATAGGAATTTTCAGCTTGTTCTCAGGAGGGATTGGAAAAGCACCATTACGATTACGAAACTTCCCTAAAATATGAACTTGTGGCATGTATGTCCAGATAGCTTCCACCAGCTCTAAATGGGAGGTCTCAACGCCCTGGAAAAAAAAAAAAAAGTAAAGTAAATGCTTAAGCAACAATAAGCGTAAGCAATAACAGCAAGCAATAAATTTAAGCAATGATATCCTACTAGCCATGTAAATTTCTCAGTAACACACCAAATACAACACTGTGTCTCATTTTACTGCACATTTGCAGTGAGACTTATTTTTTAAAAGCAAGAGGAAACACAGTTTAAATTTATAGCTGGACTTAGCATCACCTGTGATGCCCACTGGTGCAACTTAACAAAGAACTTCTAAGCACTGTTCACTTGCATATATGGTCACAATTAAATGCTATGTCGTACAGCCAGATTTCAGTATAAACTCAGTAAACATGAATGCAAAATCCTGTAAATCACATTTTTTCTGTTTGGTTAAGAAGAATTATCTCAGCTGTTGAAAGAATCTCTCTCTTGAATTTAACCACTCACCAACAGATTTGGACAGGCCTGCAAAGCCTCTAGAACTCCAGGAATGCTGAAAGCTTCATGGCCACGAACTCTGCGTCTTTCAAGATACCTGGGATGAAGACCATAAAGTTGTTCAATGTCTGGCATCTTCCTCAGCAGCGTTAGGAAACTGGAATCAGTGAAACCTAAGATGACAACAACAGATTTGGTATTTGTGTAACAGCAGACACCCAGCTGTAAAGGGAAAGCCAAATGTGTTGTCCTTTTCACATGGCAGTGTAAATTCTAATGTCAAAGATGTACTCAGTGAAGCAATAGTTTATCATCTGCTTCCAGATTACTGAAATGATGATCTACATGCTTCTGCCTTGAATTCTGCAGGCTTGCTAAGTCTCCTTCGGTGTATTTGCATAGCTACAGGGCTAACTACACTTTCTCCCACTGCAGATGATGGACATCTGCAGACAGGCTTTGTGCCTCTATCTTTTCTGGAATCCCATTTATCAATAATGTGGCTCAACAACACCCAACCAGATCAGTTGCCTGTATCTGTCACTATTCAGCACAGCTGATAGCTCCCCCAAAAAATGAAACAATTCTTTTAAAGCAAAGGATTATTTTATTTTAATATAAGACAACATATAAGAGGGATTTTAAACCAGTAAATTATCTCTATTTACATGTGTCTTAGGTTAGGTGCAATCATATACCTGATATCAGTCCTAATACATCTAACTGCAGATTCTCTAAGTTTTAGAATTTACTTATTTTAGCTCTCACCCCCAACAAACTTCAACCAAAATTCTAATACTCACAGGGGTGACACCTAAGTTGCCAAACTTATCTATTGAGCTGAAGATAGCTTGACGTGTGACATCAAAATTTATTTATTCTTACATTGTAAAGTGGCGGCAGATGAGTTGCTCTCTCATTCCATTGTATTTTTTCCTGCCTGCATGCAAACAGACTCTTCTTGGATTAACCCTTGGTTTAATTCCCTTACAATAACCAGACAAACACAGATTGTATTTACAGACTGCTACAGAGAATCCCCATTTCAGCTACAGTAGCATCCAATATACATATATACACAGAAACTTGAGGAAGCCACCCAAACCTCACAATCAGACAAAAATAACCCAAAGCCTAACGCCTAACTCCTTTTACTGCTTTTGAAAATTCACCCTGTACACGTCAGTATAAATAACAGGACAGCATGCACAGCCAGTTTTGTTCAATACCACTTTAATGCCAGATCTTGAGTGAGTGAATTACTCACCAGTGGGCATGTATTCCCACCAACGGCCTGCACATAAATCCACAACCTTCACTACTCGCAGATAAAGAGTGACTGCTTCCTTCAGCTTCCGGGACAGGCATTCCATGCACATGATATCCTGCAAGGGAAGGTACCTTTGGGAGAGGAAAAAACACCCCTCTGATTTATCAAATGTGAATTCCTTCAACTTTTTCCAAAATAAAGAACATCTCAAGGATGGCTACATGAATTCATACATTTCTAACGTCTAATAACAGTAATTCAAACAGAATTTTCAGACAGCATACTGTTAGAGTGTGAAATTTGGCTACAGAGAAAAAAAGACCAATGTTTGATATTAAATACAGGATACTTAAGGTACTAATTGGATACTAAAGCAGGGATGTGTTTTAGCTTTCTAACTGTCAACCAAACTATTTGCCACAATAATTTTTCCAAAGTTTAATCAAAGCTATTTTCAGTTTCTGGTACATACTATCATGTTCAAATTGCAAATATTTTGTGGGAGCTATTGTTTTCAGAGAACTTGTCACAAAAAAAGCTAGCTTTCCAATACAATTGGCAGGGTGAACATCTTGGAGGATGGCTGTTATGTAGGTGAGGTAACACACTCACCAATTTCCCCTTTGTATGCACTGCGAAGCAGATACAATTTCAAACAAAGCCTATCAGCTATGTAACACCTGAGATACATATTTCTGCACTGAAATCAATCTTTAAGCACTTGTTATCACGTGCTTGTGAACAAAATTAAATCACTCTTTTTGTTGTTGTTTCTCATTTATTATACTATTCATCACATTCACAAGTTAACTTTCAAAGCATCTAAATGAATTCTGCAACTGAAAGACTGATCCCTCACCCTTTTAAATACAGTTTTGATCCAACTGTTCACACATAGTACCTCAATACTTTCTGAGCAGTTTGTGACACAAGTATTAATGGAGGTAAGATTGGAAAACAAAACAGAAAACAATATAATAATAAACAATAAACTGACTTCTGATAAGCTGCTCACCTAAAGATGTGGCAAAGCACTTCATGAGAGAGCTGGTTCATGTAATCTTTTGGCTCATCAGCTTTGGTAGACTCAGAACCTTCTCTGTTCGCAGAGCATGGTTTCACATTTTTCCGCCTGGGACCCATATTTGCAATGATTTCTGAAGAAAGAAAATGTTCACGTTACGCAAATTCAGTGCAACTGAGAGAGAAGGACTGAACAGAAGATACACCATCTTAACCTTACTTTCTCAAAAAAAAAAAAAAAAAGAAGAAGAAAAAAAAGAAAGAATAAAAGAAAAAACAAACTGCAGTGCAGTTGAATTAACCGAAAAATAGAAAAATTATTTCAGTAAGTAGTATTTTGCTTGGCACGTGAGGTCTCACACATGACTTCCCAAAGCTATCGCTCCTCACAGGAAGAGGAGCTGCAGGCGCCTCATTGCTGACAGTCACAGGACCCAAGGGAACTGAATGGAGTGTCAGGGAGAGGTCACAAGAGTATTAGGAAAAGGTTCTGTCCAGAGGGCACAGGACAGGCTCCCCAGGGCTGTGATCACAGCACTGAGCTGATGGAGTTCAAGAAGCATTTGGGCAACAATCAGAAATAAAGTTTGACTTCTGTGGGATCCAGCATGGAGCCAGGTGTTGTACTCAATGAACACTGTGGGGGCCCTTCCAACTTTGCGTATTCTATTATTCTCTGATCCTATGAAACCAGAAAATCCTTTTGAGGAAAGAGGAAAATCACCATGGATTTTAGATTATCTCTTCTGTGTGAATAAGATGTCTTCAGAGATATCAACCACGTACTTGTCAATCGAGACAAATCACAACAAGAGATTATCAAACACCAACTAGAGATCTCGCAGTGAAACAGCACAAGGCCTCAGTCCAGCAGAAAAACAATTTTCCTTTTTAAAAAAGCCAGGCTCCAGGTAATTCCTGAGGAAAAAAAGGACCATAGGAAGTGGCTGGCTCCTCTGAAAGGTTACAATGCTAAAAAAAAATACTCAGGTAGCTTAGTTAAAGATCAAAGTTGCTGAAAAACTCAAAGATCTTGCTTCAGCAGCAGTGTGCAGGACATCCCCTCCCTGCTCCCTTTGCTGAATTCCAGTGTTTTTGTGCTTATACTGCCCACCAGCACACACTGGCAGAAGGACTGGAATAACAACAAAGTTTTATTTGAAAGCATTTATTCTAAGAAATAACACATAGCTGAATAAACGTGAACTTCATATTAACAACAGAATAACTGAGTTAACATCTTATACAGACAAACAGCAAGAGAAATGTCTTTAGTACTGCTGTTTAGCTGAGGAATGCTTTCTGCTGAGTAGGGCAAAACAGCATTAACTCAGTAAACCTGTTTAACAGGTCGAATAGCAAAATTCAGTGGATGAGAGAAAACAAATTTAAAAAGATGGATTTTGGAAGATTTATCAGAGGTGTTTCTGTTATAGTGCTCACCGTGATTTAATACAGCACAGTACTTGCTTTTTATTACGTGTAAATGGCTCCTTAGCAGATAAACAAAGCATCTCCTGGTTATTAAAAGGAAAATTCTGTGTTCTGGAACGCAAAAGATTTACATGCTGGCACAAAATTTGAAATACTGACAGCTTCACTTTGACCTAACTACTGAAAAACATGTGCTGTCACACACGTATATATCTTTTTATGCACTTTTCATTAACAACTGCAGTGTTGTAGTGAATTTCATTTTTAACACTGATATTAAAGTAGCATAACTGGCAACTTCTGCTATGGAATTGCATGTATCTTATATGTTTCCCTTTGGATTGGCTGGGGCTTCTTCAGCCAAAGCAGAAAACTCTAAGTGTGCTGCCTGTACAAACACTGCATTTCTTTTTAGTGGACACTGGAAAAGTTCAGGGCATTTGCAATATTGCATTGTAATGATTTTCAACTTCAGAAAGCCTGAAATTGACTTCAAAGTACTTTTAACACTGGGTTCTTATGAAAAGAAGTATTGGATTCCAAGTGAATATCACCTGATCATTCAATTTGCACAGAGCCAGATACAACGTCAAAAAATCTTGATTAACAAGCAGATTCAGGAGTAGAGAAGTATTTCAAGCACAAAAGAGTAAATGATGATAGACAGTGATTTGAGGAAAGAGGAAGATGTTAGCAGATCAGCATGAAAGGGAGAAGTCTAGAAAAATCCAGATTTAAAGGCAGCAAGCAGAACTTTCTCTGATATTGGGCTGTAGCTGCACTTGGCTCCTACCAATAAGGAAAAAGAGCCCGAATCTCTTATGCAGCAGTGTTCTGCAGAACGCATGCTACTCCAGGTCCTACACTGACAAGTTAAAGGCGCACGTATCGTTCTGTGCTTGCAACTCGACTCAATTTTCAAAAATAATCTAAAAAAATCATGAAGCAGGCAAACGAGCCTGGTTCTTCCCGGTTCAGCTGCTGAGGGTCACTGTAAGCCCGAGCAGCTCCTCATTACAGCCGCCCCCAGGAGGAACGACGAGGCCCACCGCCAGGGGAGCGGAACGAGCCGGAGCTGCCGGGCCCCGCAGCCGTGAGCGCTGCGGAGACACCAGGGCGGAGAGTTAAGCTGCGAGCAGCGCTCGCTCCGCGGTGGCACAGCTGATTTTGTGCTGAGGTACGCGGTTACGAAGGCAGATTCCCTCGCTGCTCTCCCGCAGCCAGCCCCAGCGGGCACCCCGCGCCCGCCCCGGGTCCCCCCGCTTTCCTCAGGGCCTGTCACGCCGCGAGGGTCCCCGCGCAACAGCACAAGGGGACAGAAACGCCGCACCAGGCCCGGCCTAGCGAGGGGCCGCGCACCGGGCGGACGGCTGCAGCTGACGGACCCCGCCGTCCCTCCGCCCGGCCCGCCGCCCCTTACCTGCCCCTCAGCGCCGCCCTGTTATTGTGCCCGCGGGGATGGGTCAACCCCGGCAGGCGCTTCCTGCGCGGTCCCTTCCGCCAGCGCCGCCGCGCTTCCGGTCCCGCTTCCGGTCTGGGCGGAGAGCGGCGAACCTCGTCCCGCCCCACCGCCATCTTGACGTGGCAGCGAGGAGGTGGAGCTTTGCCGCCGCCATCTTGGATGCGTCCTCGCCTATCGCGTGTCGCACGGCGGGCGCCATATTGGTGGTGGCTGAGGCGCGGCGGCGGCCTGCTCCTCCCTCCTCGCTGAGGTGCTGGGACCTAAATTGTGTATTTCCAAAGAGATGGAACGGAGGAAAACAGTTCTCGTGCAGAGAGCTGGCATGACAGCAGCAAGCAAAAACGCGTAGTAGTGCACGTGAGGTGGTGGGGATTAAAACAACCATACAGCACCAGTGCCTGCTGAGAGGAAAAGCAGGTGGTTTATCAGAATTACACCTCAACCCACAGTTCTGGATGAACTGAGAAGCGATTCTGACCGCGCTCTCTGCAGGGCCGTAGCACAGCCACAGGAGTACTGATAGCTGTCCTTGGGAAGCGTTAGTGGAAGCCTGCGGCTCTGCATTTAGCTCATCGTTTACATTTACAGATTACACCGAGTTCTTTTTGCCCTTGTTTTCTGTAGCTTTTCTGCTACTCTTCAGTTTATCTGGGAAATTGAAGAATTTAGCCATGATAAGCCCATACGAAAAAACCATCTTGCACATTAGAACCTCTTATAAAAAAAGTAAAGAGGATAATCTGTCTGTGTAATTAATTGCCACAGTCATTTGTGAGCATGTGGTAACATTAGTGAGATTTTATTTGCTAGAGTGCCAAGCCATTCTTCCTTACACAAGAACAGCTGAAAACAGTAGGGCCTTCCTTTTGCCAAGCTACAGTCTTATTTTTCATGTATTAAACAGAGACAGGCTATAAAAATCACAGTTTAGAGTGAACATTTGTAGGTAAACATTCTCACTGATGGGAAAACAAACTGTGGTCTAAAACACAATAACCTGGGGGAAAAAAAAACATCCCAAGTGAAATCTACGACATCACTGTTGATTAATTGCATGAATTGGCATTCATATTTACTGTGACATTACTCGTTCATCTCAGCTGTGGCTTCAGGAAATGCTTCTGTTTCGCTTTTCCTATTCAGTTATTGTATCTCTTCATTCTTCTGCTAACTTGAACACAGTTTACAGCTACTAAAAAAGAAGGCTGCAGGAGCATCTACCGTCTAAACTATCCAGGCAATCTTACCAATAGCCTGGCTACCATAGCATATTGCACTCCTTTAAGCTTTCTTAATAGGGAAAAAAAAAAAACAACAAAAAACTTACAGTAGAAAAATGATTAGTGGCAGAAATGTATGGAGAATAGTCTGTACTTAAGCTAAGTTGGTAAAGGAAAGGGATGGACTGAGCATAACACAATTAACATTGGAACAGACCCTCTTCTTGGCAAGAAGTGTGAGTTTTGGATTTGTCAGCAACAGCATCCAAACATTTTGTCCCCCAAATATAAGGAAAGTGAGCCCTCCTACAGAAAACCAAAGTAAAAAAGGGAAACAGTAGTCCGTTCAGCAGAAGGATGAAAATCTGATAGTCTTTAGTAGCACTGAGAACACCAGTAGCAGAAGAACACCAGATGCACTCAGTTGAATTAAGGAATTTGGATAGAGCAGTTTGTTTATAAGAGAGTTCAGATGATAGTAAAAACAACTGAAGTGTGCAAAAGGTTAGGTGGCTGTAAGATTGTAAGAACCAAAACACTTTTTTTTTTCTTGGACGAAACCCGACAACTTATCACACAGATCAGTAGTATGTTGATCTTTGGAGCTAGTTCATTGGCTCTATTTTTATCTACTGTTAGATTTCAGAAGTTCTGAAATTTGAGATATTATAGTTAAACAAGAACCAAAAGTAAAACATTTAGGAAACAGAAGTAGTAGACAAACATCAATTAAAAAAGTAATTTTCTGGTTTCGATCCAATTTAAACTGAGATAGCATGCTACGTTATTGAGAAGTTTACATAGTTAAGAAGATACTGTTTCTTAAACTAATTTTAGAGCATTCACTTTGCTTACTTTTATCCAGATTGTTGAGACCTCTCACTTAGAGCTGAGGGATACTGTTCAGACACGCATATCACAAGTCCCTGTTTTAGGAAAGTTTTGTTATCTTGTTATTTAATAACCTACAGACTCTCAGTACTTACTGGTCTCCGAAAAGATATTTCTAACCTTGAGTTTTCTGGGATGCTTTCCATTCCATATTAACTTTCTAAGATACTTTTCATCTCAATTTATGTCAGAATTAAGAACTAACCACACACAAAGTAGCGAACAAAGACTAAAAGATTCTAGGAAACAACTATCAAATATCCCCATAGTCACAATCAGAAAGGACAAGCTGAGAAAATCTTTAAAAGCAATGTACTTTCTGTATCTACAACTCCTAATTTACAACTTATGTAACACCTTTCCCATATCTGGTCCTTTCTCTGCCAACATGGCTTCTAGAAATTTTCTTCACATATCCCAAACTCTAAGATATCCTACTTCCTTTCCAGAAACTTTTCTCCGTCTTTTATAAGAAAGCCTAATGAATTTCACCTGCATCACTGAGTCAACAGACAGTGTTTTGCTCCTCTCTCCACAGCTGATAACTGCAGAAAGTGAATCGATAGGATTCTGACATAGACTTCCTCTTATTTGTCAGTAATGCTCTCACCCAGATTTAAATTTCTACCCGACCCCCCCGTTTCATGCTGTAAATATCCGTTTGAAGCACTAAGGTTCATCCACAGGAGAAAGTATCTGTCTACTGGTATTTGGACCCTTCAGAACTGTAATTACATTTTAATAAATTGGTAGACCTGGGAGATCATATGCTGCCAAGGTGTTGTGGTTGCACAGAATGCAATTGCCTTATCCTCCCCAATAATAAGTCACGCAGAACTGTCCTCTGCTGCTGCTTTTGACTGTCTAGCTCCAGTGAGCTTGGGATGGTCATTTATCTGCTTTGGTTGCTTGAAAATATGGGATCATTGCTTAGAAATTCACATCAACTGGTGGAAAGGCATATTTGGTTTGAGTTTGTGGAGGATTACAGGGAGCCCTTTGTAGAATGTGTTGTGGCACTGGGAGGTGGGATCTGCTGACAGCCAACAGTGCATCTCTGCTCTCCTTTAAAAGGTTGCGATCTGTTGCAACAACACACTTAAGAGGCTGTGCTGCAGGGTAGAATTGCAAAACAAAAACATCTTCCAGAAATAGCATAAAGTCTTACTACAGTATATAACAAAATATCAAATAGTATAGCATCTCCATGTCTGACTCTTCCCTCATGCAGGTGTGGACTAAAGGAATTGGTACAGGTGGTGTTTTGTGATATCAAATATTTACAAAGGAAGCAAAGGAAACCTTGTCCTCCTTTGAGCTTCTGAATTTTTCTCCTGCTCAGACAGGAAAGCTACAGTAAGTGTTGGACTTAAAAGGGAGCTATAGTTAAATGTATTTTTGGAGTTGAGTGATGGGGATAAATTCCCATTCCCCTGCTGCAAATTAGGTAGCAATAGGTTGGGGCAGGGAACTGAGGGGCTTCTAAACAAGAACTAAACTGTGGTCCTGCTTGTTGTAAGAGGAGAGAGTTGGGGCCAGAGCAAGCTGTAACTCAGCTTTTTTTGGGGAATAGGGATGGAACTCCTCTGCTTTGTCATTCCCCTGCTGGGAAGGAAGCAAGTCCTTCTCTAACAGCATCCTCAAGCCCTCCTGTAAAGTTGCAGTTAAATCTATGGATGTAAATGTATCTTCAGTCCTTGCAGTGCTAGGCTTGTCAACTGCAGGAGTGGAAACTAGCCACAGCCTGGAGAATCCTACAGTGAATACAACAGCAGAAAGAAATCCATCCTTTTCTTATGCTCTATGTCACACAAAATCATCTTCTTATCAGCTCAGCTCAGAGAGCACCTAGGTTAGGAGGTGTCAGGCCAGCAACACTGGATGTGCTGCGCTTCTCCCAGAAGATGGCACCTCAGTGGTGTGAATGGGAAAGCAGCCTTCCCTGTGCCTGCATGGCACCTCTGCCTTTAGGGGTTGCTTCTGGGAGGTCTGAAGGAGCATGTTATAGATTGGCCAAGAGAGACATTTACCTGTGGACATGAGAGACTAGAGCTGTTATGCTTGCAGCTGATGCCATCTGGCTTTTTGTTCTGGAAGAAAGTATGTAAGCCTAACGGGGACAGATTCATAACTAGTGATGCCTGTGACCATCTTGTGCTGGAATTTTATATTCCAAACAATGAGGGAAAGTTTTATGCTTTCAGATTTTACATGTTTATCTACATGTGTTTGTTTGTGTCTCAATAGTTTAATATAACTTGTGTCACATAGAATTGGATGTTTTCCCAAACATCCCCTTATGGGGACAGTACTAACATTTGATATGTTAGTTCCTGTAACTCATATATAAAAAGTTTTGCATTATTATAAATTGCCCACACTATCAAAACATTCTTATTCTGTAAGATGAAAGTTCAAAAGTTACTAAGTACTTATGAACTGTTTAAAGATGGAGAGATGCACAGTGTAGATTCGAATTTGATTAAGCCTTTCTATTGAGTGATTCCAGAGGGAGGTTATTACTGCCTCAGTCTCCCCATTCCTCAAGGAAATGAATGCCAGAATCCAACCGTTACCAAATTTTAGGTTTTTTTAGTTTATGGTCTATTTATTGTCTGCAAAACAGCAAATTTTTTTTCTTGAATGATTTTTGCATGGAAGTTTGAAATATTTGCAACTGAGAAAAGGGGGAAACCTGCCATATATGTATATGTGTGTACTTATACACATTATATTTATGTATATGGAATTTATTCATGCATTAGTCTAAAAACAGCCAAAAGTGTTCAAGTACATTACCACAAATAGGGGTGATAATTTTGAATAATATTCTCTGAATAATACCAGAGTTCATTTCATTTAAATTCACTTATATATTTACACTGATGGTTTCCTCTTTTGCCTTAGAGAAAAAAGGTAAGACAACCATTAGAGTTGTCATAGTGACAGATGAAA